TCTCTAACACCAACAGCACTGTAACCGCCTCACTTTCCAACTCACGAGAAAGCATGTCAAATAGCCAATCTTCGTCCGGCCAACAAAACCATCGCAGTTCACAGCAAAAGGAATCTTCAGAAAAACCACTTTTCCGAATCGACCTTATAGCTCGACAGTTGGCCTCAGTTTGGCAGTCAATTTGCGCTCTGGAGGCAGCGTCCAGCACCAGAGCACGAACTGTACATTTGAACTCAGGCCCGGAGCGTACTAGTCCCTCCTTGTCGGGCCGATGGTCCGAAGTCTCATCCACTTGCTCTACTGCTTCATCGTCTTCATCTGGCTTTCGCCTTCAAGTCAGCAATGGCTTTCATGATGTTGCAGTTACATCAGGCGCCAGAGACTGTGCAGTGATTGGCAGACTCTCTCCAGCAACAGTCGGCCACCTAGAGCCCCCTGGATCCGGCCTGACATCGTCCATTGAGATGCGGAGCGCCGGAGCCGAGATACGAACCTTGCCCATCTTCAAAGGAAAAGGAAATTCAATCGCTAGTTCATCGGAAAACGGTTCCTACCGATCAAATTATGATACAAGTAAACACATTCTCTTAGATTCGATTATATCGGTTAATTTATTAACTGCATATGGAGTCACCTAACTTCCAGCACATATTTGCTCGAATTCGTGAAAATAATATTCTTAGATATATTCACATACGTGTTGCTAGTAGAACCGTAAAATTTACCCCGTTCGCTGTCCTCTGTCATAGTAGTGACTATGAATTATTGCATCGAATCGTGGGCTTGGTGCATTCTTTAAATATTAAACTAAAGTATATACAGTTACTAAATTTCTGTTGACAATTTGTCTTATAAATCTTTTTTAAATTGTGTTTTACTTATCTCATATCGTTATTCCTCACTTAATCGCAATTAAAATTTCGGTCTTGACTACTTCCATCTGACACTCCCCCATGAGTACCAGAATTGTTGATATGACTTGGCCCCTTCCGTCTGCGGACTATTT